TCCTGCCTGTAGCAAGATGACAAGCCAGCCCAAGAAACGTGTGGCAGACATTGCTATGGCGCTGAAGCATGAACCATGTAAGAAGAGCTGTGAAGACAAAACCTCTGACTACAAAAAGTGTCTTATATATATATATGTCAAGAACACTCTACGATAGACCTGTACTGTATTAATCCATTAACAATTTCAAAGTTTATAAAAGCCATGAATGCTAGACAAGACGAGGTCTTTCATAGACTGCACCATGCGTCTGCAGAAGAAAAATGGTTTGAAGACAGAACACCAAAGTGGCACCGGAAATGTCGAAATTGGTACTTAAAGTGGACCTATCATGCTATATTTGAATAATATAGTGTAGGACCATACCTATATAAGGCATATTTATACTGTTTTTTCAAAATACCAAACAGATCATGCATTTTAGCCATGCCTCATTTTGCTCAATTTGACATTTTTTAGCTCTGTTTTTGCAAGGGCAGATTATGTGAGAACAGCACCATCTACAGGCCTGGCATATGTACTACAGCGTCTCCAGCGCTTTCGAACGGCAATGGCCGTGGTTGTCTCCTCCTGATTGGTGGAGTTGGCCCAATAGCCGTAGCGCCACTGTCCTGACGTCAGGACAGTGTTCAAATCTGGATCAGTTTTTATCAGATCCGTTGCAGCCCCTTTTTTTGATATTTGGGTATGGAGGAAAATAGAGAGGGTTGTGTTTTCTGACACTTGGTGAGTTCCCTGGAACACCGGGGACACATATTCATGTATAAAAGACGTACAAAAGTGCATTTTGCATGATAGGTCCCCTTTAAATAAGAAGAGCTACCAATATGTTGAGAAGAAACGTCTTGCTGATGTGAGTGCAAGAGCAGAACATTTGGCTGGTCTAGGATGTAGCTCCTCACAACATACAGTCAGGTTCACCAGGCGAAACACTAAAACATTTGAAGCCAAAAAGAGATGTGTCATCTGCAATAAGCAATGGCTGCGGGGAAAGGAACCAACCTCTAAGGCAGGGGTGTCAAACTCAAGGCCCGGGGGCCAAATCCGGCCCGTGACTTGATTTTCTGTGGCCCCACAAGAGGTTGCAAAGAATATTATATGTTTATTATACGGTTACATGATGATTTACAGAAGCACGTTGCCCATAAACTACATGTCCCACAATGCATCTCAAATTAGACTTGTTTCTCAGAATTTGACTTTTTTCTCAGAATTTGACTTTTTTTCTTCTAAATATGCCTTTTTTCTTAGAATGTGCCCTTTTCTCAGAATTTGATCAGTGTTTCCCACATAATTTGATTCTATTTGTGGGGTAACCGCACCGCATGTCACTTATTTTTTTTAAATGTCACTTCCTTTTTTTTAAAATGTCACCTCATTTCTTTTAAATGTCACTTCCTTTTTTTTAAATGTCGCTTTTCTTTTTCTTTTTAAATCATTTTGTAACATTCTCACTGAAGAGACTTGCAATTATTTGCCCCAGACTTCTGCTTTCAGACATAGTTAATTATGAAGTTATTACCCTATCTGATAATAATCCAATGCAGAGTCAATAATATAATATAATACATTATTATATATATTTATATCAGGGTTTCCGCTAGGATTTTTTCTCGCCAGTCAAATGTCCGGACAGAATCTATTTTACCAGACAAATTTGAAACTTACCGGTCATGTTTCAATAATAATAAGAAGAATTGTGTAGCAGAGTTTCCGTTAGCAGGTAATTACCGGACTATGACCGGATATGCTGATGTTTAAAACTCAGTTAATGGGGCTCATTTTTATATTGCTTCAGTTTATAATAATAATAAGCTGGGCAGAAATGACATATTGCTGACTATAGTGTATGACCTGGGGGTGTCTGACCACAAGACCATCTCTATGGAGCTGTTTTTCCAGTCCCCACTCAGCAAGCCCAAACGCCAAATCCGCTTCAGGAACCTGAGGAACATCAACCCGGACACCATGACCCTGGACCTCCAGCATCTTTCTTCCGCCAACTTCTCATCAGTAAATGAGTCAGTGGCATATTACAACCAGTCCCTTAACAGTCTCCTTGATCTGCACGCCCCCCTCAAAACCAGGATGGTCACCTTCTCGCGCTCAGCCCCTTGGTACACCGGCGAGCTGCAGAGAATGAAGACAGCTGGGCGTGTCCTTGAGCGGCGGCTCAAGGCCTCAGGACTCACTGTTCACCGGTTAGCCTATCGTGAACACCAGAAGGCCTACGCTCAGTCCCTCAGAGATGCACGGTCCCAGTACTACTCCTCCATCATCAACAACAGTACTGGAAACTCCAAGCAACTCTTCTCCACCATAAACCACCTCTTCAAACCCCAAAGTCCTCTACACTCTGACTCCACTGAGAAGCAGTGTAGCAACTTCGCTGCCTTCTTCATAAACAAAGTTGACACCATCCGCTCCATCCTCTCTAGCCCCTCTGCACCTCCAGTTCCAACTGCTGACCCACAGCCTGGGACAACCCAGCCTCTTCGCTGTTTCACGGACATCCCTCAGTGAGAGGTTGAGGGCATCGTTAGGAGGATGAAGCCCTCCACCTGTGTCCTGGACCCCCTTCCGTCAGTTCTGGTGAAATCGTACATCTGTACCATGAGCCCCATGATCACTAAGATCGTAAACCTCTCTCTCCAGGCTGGCCATGTCCCCTCTGCCCTAAAAACCGCTGTCATCAAACTTCGTCTCAAAAAACCCTCCCTTGACCCGAGAGTCCTGGCCAACTACAGACCCATTTCCAACCTTCCATTTCTATCAAAGGTGCTGGAAAAACTAGTTGCTGCTCAGCTCCTGGACCACCTAAACTCCAACAACCTATTTGAGAAGTTCCAGTCTGGTTTCCGCTCAGGCCACAGCACGGAAACTGCCCTGGTCAGGGTCACCAACGACCTGCTGATGACGGCTGATGCTGGCTCTCCCTCTCTCCTCATCCTCCTCGATCTCACTGCAGCTTTCGACACCGTCGATCACGGCATCCTCCTCCATCGTCTGCACTCCACCATCGGACTCTCTGACTCTCCCCTTGACTGGTTCAGATCATACCTCATCGGGAGAACAGAGTACGTCTCCTTGGGCGAGGCAGAGTCGGGTACCCACGACGTCACCTGTGGTGTCCCTCAAGGATCAGTTCTCGGCCCACCCTTTTCACACTCTACATGCTCCCCCTTGGCTCTATCATCAGCCGACATGGAGTATCATTCCATTGTTACGCTGATGACACCCAACTGTACCTCAGGATCAACCCTACCTCCTCTGCAGCCCTGCCTTCACCCACACTCACTGACTGCCTGGAGGAGATACAGGCGTGGATGAAGCAAAACTTCCTGAAACTCAACAGCTCCAAGACCGAATCCATTATAGTTGGCACCCCACACCAGGTTCGGTCATCCACCATCTCCACCATCACCACCATCACCTTCTCCGGCCAGGACATTACCCTCTCCTCAATAGTCACCAACCTGGGTGTGAAAATGGACGCCCATCTGACCTTTGAGGCTCACATTAAACAGCTGTGCAAGAACTCCTTTTATCACCTCAGGAACATCGCCAAACTCCGCCCCACACTCACTCTGTCTGACGCCGAAAAGCTAGTCCACGCCTTTGTCTCCTCCAGGCTGGACTACTGCAATGCACTCCTCATCGGGATCCCTAACAAAAGCATCCAGAAGCTCCAATACATTCAGAACAGCGCTGCTAGGATCCTGATGAGGGTGCGCAAATATGATCACATCACCCCCATCCTTGAATCACTACACTGGCTCCCCGTGGAACTGAGGATCGAATTCAAGGTCTCCGTCCTCACCCACCAGTGTATCCATGGAACTGCCCCTCCCTACCTCAAGGAACTCCTCACCCCCCATACATATATCCAGCAACTCCAACTTCCTCAAACCCCCCCAGGACTAAGCTCCGTACTATGGGAGACCGGGGCTTCTGCTCGGCTGCCCCCAGTCTGTGGAATGCTTTCCCCGACCACATGAGAGCACCACAGACTGTGGAGGCTTTTAAAAAAGGCCTCAAAACCCATCTTTTCAATAGAGCCTTTTCCTAGACCTTTTATTTATTACCACCCTTTTATTTATTTTTTATTGTTGGTTTTTTATTGCTTTTTATTAATTCTACCGTGTTGTGTAATGTTTTTATACTGTTCATGCTCACTGCTTGTAGCACTTCGGGATTTGAAGTCAAATATGAAGTGCTTTATAAATGAAACCCATTATTATTATTATTATTATTATTATTATTATTATTATTATTATTATTATTGCTGAGACTGATTGGGCAAGGTCATGACATGGTTGCCAATGATATAGCCTACCACAAACCATGCATGAACAACTTCAAGGCTCAGTGCGTTCCTTCTGGAAAGCCAAGGCTGAATCTTTATGCTGTTGCATTTAGTCGCCTTGTGGAAGAGCTGGAGGCGTCTCTTTTCTATGACCTGTCAGGATTCCTTGTGAAATCATTGCGTGACCGGTACCGAGAAATTCTGAGGGAGCTTGGTATCAAAACTGCAGATCAGTACCGATCGACTACACTGAAATTGAAGCTGCAGCAACACTTTGGTGGACGTGTTTCAATTTCACCAGACCTGTGGTTCAGGCTTCATATGTGCATCAGCTGTACCCCTCGGTGATGCCCTTGAGAAGCTGAGGCGACTAAAAGCAGACCATAAGGAGGACGAGAAATACCATGCATTGCGGCAAGCTGCAAAGATTCTTCGAACAGATTGTGTGAATTGCAAGAGGCAAACTCATGAGAAGCGTTCAACTCAGATATCCTTCAAATCTGCTAATGACATGGTTCCTGACTCACTCTTCAACTTCACAGCCATGCTGCTTAATGACAAGATACTGGAACTCAATGATGATGGAAGAGTCATTGTTGATCAGCCAACAGCATAGAAAACCATCATTATGTCACAGCACGTCCTTCAGCATGTTTCTGGTGTATCAACACCTTTGGGCATAGCCACTACCTACCACTTATTCAACCAGACACATAAGAGCCGTGGCGGTGGTGGCGAAGTCGATAGGGACTTGGCTTGGCAACTGGAAGGTCACCAGTTCGAGTCCCGGCAAGACCAAGTGCTACCGAGGTGTCCCTGAGCAAGGCACCATTCCCTACACTGCTCCCCGGGTGCCGGACATGATGGCAGCACACTGCTCCTAACACTAGGATGGGTCAAATGCAGAGGAACAATTTCGTTACATAGTACCTGTACTGTGAAATGACAAAAAGAGCAATTTATTTTATTATTAATTTATAATTTATTTATTAGTAAATCACTCATTATGATGAATAACAGATTGGGGCTTGGGATCAGTTATGAACGTATGCAGTGTCAGCTAACAGCACAAAGTGAGAAGGTAATGCAGCAGGTTGAAACTGATGGTGTTTACATCCCAGAGACCATGATGAAAAACAGCGAGATCTCCCATGTGTTTGCCATGGACAATCTGGACTGGAAGAAGAAGACACTGGAGGGTGGGAGTTTTAATGCCACCACTGCAATCATAATTGAAAACCAAAAGATTGTGCAGGTCCAGGAGGGTGCCAGACTCCCCACTTCTACCTCGGACAGAAAGAAGACTCTCTCTGATGTTACTGACCTACCTGCTCCCATGTGTCACGTCTCCGCTAAAGACAGGCAGAGGTCCAGGTCACTTGAGCATATTGAGAAGCTAGAGAGTCTGGATACTTCCTCAGATGGCACAGCTGAAGACCTGTTACTTATGTGGCGCCTAGCAAGAATGGTTACAACTTCAGAGTTGCTGGATGTTCCTCCAGATGCAGAAGCAGGACTGCCTGGCTTTTCTGTCTTCTGTGCAGACCTCCACCCACACAGACCGGCCAGTATCATTGGCTATCTTCCTCTCATCCCAGCATCTCCAACTGATCCTGCTGTCCTGAAAGAAGAAATGAAACGGCTGGTCAAGACATCGCATGCACTGGGAGAAAAGTATACCATTATCACTGGAGATCAGGCTACATATGAACTCGCAGTTGCCATCAGAGACAAGCACAGAGATGAGTTTTGCAATGTAGTCCTGGTGCTGGGGGGATTTCACCAAGCTCATAACTACATGAAGGCTATTTGCAAGCTCATCAGGGATGCAGGTGCAGAGGATATTCTTGTTGCAGCTGGTCTGTGTCAGGAAGGGACTGCCAAAAAGATGTTTGGTGAGAAGGCTGACTACTACCAAACCATGCATGCTCTCAGGATCCTCAGTGAGGCCATGTGGCGCTTGTACTGGCAAGCATTTGAGGCATGTGCAGCAGACAGAGAAACACAACACTGGCAGTCACAAGTAGAACATGTTGTGAAGATGTTGTTTGAGAAAGACACCACTGCTAATGAGAAGTTAGAGATCATCCAGATGTCACATCCACAGATATCAATCCTACAAGAACAGATGTTACTTTTCCAGGAATCTCTGAATGAGCACCCAACTGCAGTTTTCTGGTCAATCTTTCTGGAGATGTCAGACATTCTCCACAGGTTCATCTACTACCAGCGGGAAGGTAACTGGGCAGGACATCTCTGTGAATCAGAACGAATTCTACCTTACCTCACTGCAGCAGGACACTACAAATATGGGCAGCAGTCTTTGCCTCTGTATTTGGCTGAGATGAAGAAACTGCCAGAGACAGCCACAGAGGCACATGAAGCACTGATGGCAGGTGCATTTGTTGGAAGGAGAGCAGATAGAAACCACAATGGTGTCTCTCCTGACATGCTTCTTGAGCAGACATATAATGCAGATGCCAAAGAGGCAAGTGGTCTGGATGGTATTACACTCAATCGTGCTGCCAGGATGAAGTGGGTCTACACAAAACCACTGACTGCAGCTATCTCTGCAGAGCTCAAGTCTATGCTGCACCTCCATTCCTCCAGCCCCCAACATGAATCTGGTTGGAGTCGTGTCAACAGGGATGCAGAGATGGTAGTCAAGGTCATGGCAGCAGTAGAGACCAACCCATTCACGACAGCCACACCATCCCTGATCAATATATCAACTGGTGAGTGTGCAGATCCCACAGTCAAGGACAACCTGACAAGTGTGAAAGCAGTTGGTTTGAAGGCATTGTCAGAATCACTGTCCAGTGACCAGAAGAAGACAAGTGTTGTAAAGCTAAACACCTTCCATACACAAAACAGGATGAAAAGAAGTCTGGCGGGAAAACCTCCGCACCTGGCAAGAGCAATGAAGTCACTGCCCTTCTGCGCATGACCCAGATCATTGCCAGTGGTGGAGAACTCAACATTGTTGACTTCATAGGCAACCACGAGTAAAGTGACCTTCCCCCATCCCTCTTCCAGGAAGATGGCAGTATGAGTAAGATCTTGAAAGAGAAGACCAATGTAAGCAGCATCCCTGATCTGCCCCAAGACTGCCTCAAAACAGCAGTAGTCATAGATGCCATGTCCACCATACAACACTGGTCTTTCCACACAGGTGAAGGATTTGGAGTGATCGCTGAGTGATACAGGCACCTGCTGCTGAATGATGTGCCTCCTGGCACTGACATCATACACTTCTGTTGTGACAGATACAGTACAACCAGCCTCAAGTCAGCTGAGCAGGAACAGAGATATGCCAGATCCAAACCAGCGAAAGTGTATGAAGTCAGTGAGCAGTACACAGCTCCGGATCCAAAGAAGTTTTTTGAAGTGTCTGCTAACAAAGCAAACCTGCTGAGCTTCCTTTGTGAGAAGTGGTGTGAGAATGAACAACTTGAATCTGGTCTTGGCCCCACTCATCTCTAACTGGGTGGTGGATTCAAGGAAGAGACGAAGAGTGTGATGCTCACAGCAGGGTCTGTTATGGATGTTCCTGCTCTTGAATCAACACAGCAGGAGGCTGACACTAGGATCTTCCTCCACACTCTCTACAGTGTCCAGAATGAGGGAGTTGACAGAGTTGTCATACATGCCAATGACACCGACATCATTACCACATGCCTGTACTATGGTGCAATGCACCTCAGCGATCTAACAGAGCTGTGGGTGAGAACAGGCCAGAATGCATACCTGCCTATACATAAAATGGTTGTGGCGCTGGGACCTTCACAGTGTTGTGCCATGCCCTTCATCCACAGTCTGAGTGGTAGAGATACCACTAGTTATCCATATTTCACTGGCAAGAAGGCATGGTTCAAGAGCAGCATGAGTCTGGACATACCTGCACTTGAAGAGTTTGGTGAGAACCCTGCCGATGCCATAACAGATGACCTCCTCAATCAGGCACGAGACCTCACCATAACTGTGTATACATCCAAAGCTGATCACTTTGAGGGTTCTGATCTGGGCAAACTGAGAGCATACAAGTTCCTGAACAACAAATCAATGCTCCTAAAGCTACTACCCCCAACAGAGAATGCATTTCTGCTGCACCTGAAAAGAGCTGCTCTGGCAACCATCATTGACAAGAATGTACACATCGCCAAGCCAGAAATCCCCCCATGCACAGAATTTGGAGTTCCGGTACCATCTACAAAGCCAGCTTGGCCTGTGTCAATGAACAAGACAATATCATGTGGATGTCTCATGGGCTGTCAGAAGAACTGTTCCTGTGCAAAGAATGCAGTTCCATGCTACATAGGGTGCCGTTGCCAAGGACTGGCAACCAAATGCAGAAGGATACACACTGCCACACTTGAGAGCAGTGACATACCATGAATACCACCATGTGTACATTGAAAACATTTGTACTGTATATTCAGTGTAGGTAACTTTTTTCCCTTTTCTTCTTAAAACATTCACATTTTTCTAGTTCTGGGTCATGTGAATGATTATTTTGTGTTTAACTTCTGATTATTGTGTCATATCTGTTGATTTGTAGTTAATAACTAAGAAGAGAGGATGTGAAAGTGAAATAAATGTTTTGCCACCAGGAATTTTGTTTATTTCATGATCAAAATAGGATATCTTTCACAAAAACAAAGACATTGATGTGCACAAATAATAAAAGGGTATTGATTTGACATTAAGTTGAACTTAATGTCAACTTCCAGATAAGTTTAACTCAGTTTGCCTTGTCCTATAACATAGAAAACCTTCAATTAAAGGGTTTTGCAAAGAAAGTGGTGGCCATTTTGAATTTTGCTGCCTGTAGCTTTCCAGTCTGTACACTGAAAAATCTGTAAACATTGCATCAATTCAACTTAGCATCGGCAGCAAACCTTGTGTATATTAATGTAAACCCTTCAATATGTTATATAGAAATAATCTTTTAAAGGGCCCATGTCATGCTTTTCCGGTTATTACCCGTCCCCTTGTGTGTTATGAAGGTTTTTATGCATGTAAACGGTGTGCAGAGTCACAAACCCTCAAAATACACCCTGTAGCGAGTAAAACTCTAACACAGAAAATACCTCCCCAAAACGTCTCGTTGGAGATACGTCATTGTCCATTTGATTCTTCCATTTCGTTCCGGGTACGGCATGATGTCAAGCCGTACCCGGAACGAAATGGACCAATCCGTGGAGCCGTTACGTTACGTCCGCGGAGCCGTTACGTTAAGCCCCCGCTGATTGGTCCAAATGGACCAATCCACGGACTTCCTCACACACACATCTGTGTGCAGGGAGCAGGCAGCTCAGCTGATTTCTCCTCCCTGGCTGCAGGCTGATAACAGACAGTTGGGATCGCGGCGAAATTCTCTCTGCAGACCCATTCTCACAGCGTTTATCAACCTTTTTCTTACTCAATATCAAGCCACACTTATTGTTTTTACTTCGGCTGTGAGTTTGTGTGTGCTCAGGATGAGTTTGGCTGTGTTTCGCTATGTATCCTAAACAAGGAAACAACACCTCCACGGAGCTCAGCGCGATTCACAACGTCCCGACCAATCAGAGCACACTGTGCTCACAGGGAGGGTGGGGGCTGGAGCTATTGGAGCTACAACGAGCCGTTAAAGGCAGAGAGTGAAATTCAGTGAATACACGTAGTTTACAGAGATGCTGTATGAGAAACCAATGTGAGTTTGGAAAAATGCACAATATAAATCTATTTTAGTATACCTCAACAATGGAATTATGATCAGTGGAAATGACCATGACATGGGCCCTTTAAGTATATTTACCATAGGTGGATTTTGCGGGGGGGCATTGCCCCCCCTAGTGGCTGAAATATGTTACAGCATTACTACGTCTAAAACTGTTCCAATACAAATATTTCGTATATCAATATTTTAATAGATGTTAAAGCCTCTGCTGTCGCACCTGTTGCACTTGAGCATCTTCAAAAGACTGTTTAAAAGGACAGCTATCCAAATCTATACAAGATGCTCCAGTTGGCACTGACTCTGCCTATCGGATCTGCCACCTCTGAGAGAAGTTTTTCTGCAATGAGGAGAATTCGGAACTGGCTGTGGTCAACGATGGGAGGAACAAGATATATGTGGGATGTACAAAAAGGCGTCTCCTTCTGCACTAAGGTAGGACACTGGTTAATAATATTGTAGCGTGTTCAAGTGTGGAGGCTATTTTTATATAACATTAGAAAGACTGATTCTTATTATTACATTATAAGCTTATTGTGCTCATTTATGTGGCTGTGACTTTGGAATAAATAGACTCAATCACCCCCCCCCCCCCCCCAAGTTTTGATGGGGAGGAAAGGAACGAAGGGAAAAGTCACATGAGAAAGTGTTTAGCTTGCAATATTGAAAGTAGCAAGGTCAGGTGCAGAGACTGAGAGAATACAAAGAGGTAGTCAGAACAGCACATCGCACCAACCTTGAATTTGTATGGGAGCCACGCTCCCCTGCAAAGCTAGGAAGCAACATTATGGTTTTCCACTATATCTGAAGAAACGTTAGAGAAAACTAATTACGTATGATAGAGACAGAGTAGGGAGGGACTTCGCCAGCCGGCCGAATGCTGATTGGAGGATTGTGTTGCC